ATTTATGCTTATCAAACTTAAAATTAGCTTAGAAATTTTTGAAATGATCTGATTAAACTTTCAGTGCTGAGTGAGGTGTTATCGTTAGAATCACATTAAAAATTCGAATGCTTCTCTGATGTGTAAAAAATATCTCTTCATATTTCACAGCATTCGCGAAAGAGATGTGGTAATTACAATTCCAAGAAAAATGTTTGTGAATTAAACTTCTCATTTCTAAGATCCCAAGAGACAGAGAGAAAAAAAGAACTTCAAGAAAAATATTCTGCTTCTTAAAGATTTTACGCATATGTTAATTATGTTTTTATGCATATCTAAGAGACAAACTTTTTATCTTCTGTGCTCGAGGCAATTACTTAATCTGCTTCCCTAGATATACACTTTTGATAATGGTACAAAAAACGTGCATATTAGTAATTTTTGCATTGATTTTCAAAGATACGAGTGAGAAGAATCTTTAAATTAATGATTACTTAATGGATACATTTTCATAGTTGTAAGTCATCCCAAGGGTAAGTTACTTTTGTAATAACAGTTGAGGCCAGTTTTTATTTCGTTTTCAAAAACAAAATTATGTTTTCCATTTCATATCGAAACATAAAATTTTGCATGTCCCATAAGAATTTATTTATTTAGTTTTTCATGCATTATTCTTCTTCTAATGTTATTTGATTTAAAACTGTGTCAAAATAATAAATAGATGAATAATATACTTGGCTTAGAATACAAAGTGAAAATGGTGAAAGGTGTCCCGATAAAACATTCAATGATTGAAGTAGAAAGGAATGTATTTGGTGAAAAAGATGAACATGAAAATTTCTTCATTCTTATTCTTAACCTCTTAAACGGTAGCTCAACGAAATTAATTTGGTTCTGAAGTGGTAAGCAGTCACAGTAAAAACTGGTCTGAAAACTTTTGACATCCGTTTCGAATGCAGTTAGTTTCCCCGTCTTAGGACAGACGACGGGCTTAGGACGTCTTAGGTCTGCAGTTTAATACAATAGGTCCCGTAGGGAACCTATTGTATTAAACTGCAACCCTAAATATCGATGCCCAAATAACTTCTAAGGCATTGAAAGCATCTGAAGGAGAGAAGGGCTATTTTGTTCCTCAATAAAGAACTCTCTGAAGTCTAAAGTTCCTATAGTTGCTTCTTTTGTAGCGCTGATTCTTAGCTATCGCCTTAAGAGGGAGAAGATAATATGATTTGCAGTGCAAACTGAAGATATTTACTTCTAACGCTCGAGCTAATTATATGTTCAGTATTTATGGACACCGGTTATACTCGGCCGAATCACTGTGTAATAATTTTCTCATCCCATGGTAACTTTGGTGTATCATGCGAAGAGGATAAAGGCCATTCACTACAGTGGAATTAAGCTTGCCCAACATAAACATTTATTTCTTTATTAACAGTTTCACTGTTTTTACTGCATGTCACGAAATTGGTGAAAAGAACCAATTAAATCCATGGACCTTAAATAATTTATTGCTATTACGAAACTGTGCCATTTAAAATTTAATAGTGGCGGAAGTCTTCACTGATGTTCTCAAGTGAAGAATCACTATTACGATTGCGAAATAGACCAAGAATATTCGCGTTGATTTATACAATGGGGGAACATTTTGTGTCAAGTTACATTATATGTATAGGCCTAAAGTTGCTGTCAGATTCGAGCAAAAGTTGTCGATCATCGTGTCAATCTGAACAATTTTTGTAATTAAAAGTTACCAACTTCTATCTGCGGCTCGACCTTGACATCGAGCAAAAGTGCTTTATCGTTCACATTGGTGGAAAAGGCTACTCATCATCCTCTGCCTTTCTTTTTATTAATTTAACTATCCCCTACTCCTGATTATGAGCAATAGACTGAAAAAACTCTCATGAGATAGAAAAATACTCTTCATATTAATTCGACAAGAAAATATTTTTAGGAATATTTGCTAGCTGCTTCTGCAGTTTGGAGATTTTCTATAGCCGTCTGAAAAGTTTTGATAAAAATTGCATTATTTCCCATTCGAGTAAAAGTGGTTTAGTTTGGATTGGTTTATTTAATTACGGCAAAGCACACTAGGGCTATCTGCCTTAATGGGAGGGATGTCTTCGTGGAGGACTTCCTAACGGAAACTGGCTCGTATACACGCTACACATGCGGAAAACCACGAAACCGCTCACGCAGCCTGCCCGTTCGCGGGACTGGAACCTGGGACCGAACTACCAGTGTTTAGGAATTTTAAAGCTCGGCCACTGGTCGTGTGAGTGTAGGAGATTGTATTGGGGAAAAGATTCACTTTATATTGAAAAAAGCTAAGAAAATTGAAGATTTTTTGATGCCGCAAGTACACAGTAAAGTTATCTGAAAGAAACAAATCTAAAAAACGATTATCTAAATTTGGATTTGCTTCTGTTACACTCTATTTAAAGAAGATTAGAATTTTATTACCTTATTATCATTAATGAAGTCAATGCAAAACTGCGAAATTAAAACATGTTCAATTAGTAGAAAAAAGAAAGTGCCGGAAATTTCTTCACTTTTATCATCTTTGAATCCAAGAGCTGCAGTTTCAAGCGTCTTAATAGGAGTCCCTGCTATAATTATAGTACTTAAGTTGTGTATGATGTCACGCAGTTTTCATTTTTATTTTTAGTATTTTCAGTCATGTAACATAACATTTTTAGTTACTTATATACAATAGTTTTCCACATATTTGCAATGATAATTTTGGATGGTAAGAGATATATAATGATGAAAAAAATTAGTTCTTCATTAATTTTTCTTCAATAGCAGGCTATCAGCAACAGTACTTTCACAGATAATCTTTATTTAGGCACAATCCGTACACTAATGAACACAATAAAGCACTGAAAGCACCGCTGTGGGTGTACCTACTGTCCAGTACTTTCATTTTACAAATGTATCGCATTATATCTGACTGTAAATAAATTTGGAAGACTGTTTATTAGCGGAACAAAGATAAACTTAAAAAGAATAAGATCATGTTACTAAAGTAATTTAAGAATGGTGAAATTACTTTGTTTCTCAATAAACATATATAATACCAACTTATTACTGTTTTACAAAAGTTTCGACTTGAATTCTATTTTGTAAGTCCGTTTTAGATGAAATATGCAATAAATTCATGACACAGCCTGAGTGCTGCTCAAAAACGTTAGTTGAATGAGTTTCGTTCCTGTTACAAAATAACTAACCCTTTGATAATTACACAGATCATTTCCATAATAAGAAAACATTGTTTCTATAAGAAATGAATTGTAGTATTAACTCACACTAAGCTTTCCTTCAATTCTTGTACATGTAAAAGTAAAAAGAATGATTAATTTGAATTTAAAATCTTCCTCTATAATCCTAAGCCAATAGTTTCTTTTTCAAAATTACTCACATTTTATATTAGTATTTTCAATACCACTTCAGAATCATTTCATAAATAATTAAAATTTCAAACTACCGTCAAAATTGAGATAAAATTATTAACATTTTAAATAATCATCAAAATTAAGATAAAAGTATTCACAATGTTTCAGAAAAAAATTATCATAAGACATTTTTGTGTACACTTATGCTTTTCAACTATTTAATATGCTACTTACACATATTCTTACGTAGGAAAAAAAAAGCTGTTATTCAAAAATTTTAGAAGATTTTGTTAAATTATTTAGCTTTTCAAAAAGCCTAAAATTTCTTGCTGAAGAATATTTTAATTCTTCTTTCTTCTCTATTTATTAGTAATCTTGTAATTTATTTCTTAATTTAATATTGTTCATAGTCGCGACTGAAATATCTTTTCAGTTGCTTTTCAGAAGTGAGGCAAATATTACACAGCTTTGAATCATGTAATTTTGAAATATTTCTTCTCAAACAGCAATTTTCATTTCCAAAATATTATTTCAAAAAAACAATTCTTTACCTTTCTTCCCAGTGTTTCTTGTATCCATAATAGTCAATGTTCTATCACTCTCTTCATACCTATTTTCTTTAATAATATTAAGAAAGTTTAAGGCAAATAATTTCACACTGTTAAAGCACTCTATTGCAGCATTTAGAAGCATTTTAATACAGGATCTTTGAAATGTGTTGTTTTAAAACCTTCGCTGCTGAAATCAACATAAGAAAGCGAAGATTTCACTTTAAAATGTTTTATGTCGTTTCCTGGAATTCCATTCTTACTTAAATTCTTTTTATAAAGACTTCCACTCTTGCTCTTAAACATATAAACATTTTGTGACTGAAATCGTAAACGAAAATGGGGAATTAAAAAGAGACGACCACAAACCAAAACCGGAATAAAGATCGATTCTATATGACGTTAACACATGCTAATCAGCTATTAATTTCATTAATTCCTCTTTGTTTTAAAATAATTTCTTTTTTTTTCCATCTAATTTTATATAATTTTACTCACATCCTTTCTCAAAATCGTCTATATATGCGTTGTTTTAAATTCGTATTTCTGGCAAATCCATCCTGAAAGTTTTTCGCAAAGTAACGAATTCTAAGCAGTCTCTGCTATTTTCCTTACATATCCACATTACGGGGATTGTTAATTGTTTTTAAATTAATTAACTTTTCGATGTAATAGCAAACGAACAATTAATAAAATAGTCAGCGTGGTAGTTAAAAATATATTTTACGGTTAATAATTAAGATATGTCTTCACTATCGCATAAATGACGCCTCACGATTAATTTATTTAACCCAAGCAGTCACCACAGTTATAGACCATTAACCAGGAATTTATGTCACGTTTAATTAATATTAATAATGCTTTAATGAGACATCGATTTAAAATGTAGAAACCTTCATAGATCACTTAATTTCATTCTCCCAGTGCGATGGGAATATTTCCTAATGGCTAACCAGACACAGAGACTCTTAGAATATGTGAATTTCAAGTATGAACAATGGCTTTTAGCAGGTCACTTGCAGCCAGGATTGTTTGATTGCTAATGAGTTGAACTAATAATTCATTTCCCTTTTAGACTGTACCGAACTTTCAAGGACAAGAAATACGTATATATGCTAATGGAAGCCTGCCTCGGAGGAGAAGTGTGGACGTACCTCAGAGACAGGTAAGTGCACTTTAATTAGCTGATGACAGATTGACACGATGGAAAGTTCTGTCCGTGATCAAATTTGGAAAGGGAGCGGAAATTTTCCATGGATGTGGTACTGGTATTCTGCTGGAAAAGTAATTCACAGTTGTGAACTAAATGTCTGACTACTATCAGGAGTATTAGAAGACGGAGAAAATGCATTCTGCTTTTATCGTATGTTTTCAAAAATGAAATTTTGCGTAGAATTACCTGTTGTTTTCTCAACTTCCACTTTTATCAGTCTTATGCGTAAGATATCAGTTGAAAGTTTCAAAATATGCTTTCAAGAGAAGTTAAAAAAACATCATTTTAATAGCAGTAATTGATATTATTGGTAGTATTGTAAATACGTTTAACAAAATTAATATATATATTATGAAATGTTTTGCTCTTCCGGCTTATTTTAGAAATATTTATTAAGGATCGTGGAGCAGCAGCTCAATAAGCATTCTTCAGGATACGAGTAAATTTCAATATTAGTATCTATTATATTTTAAAAAATACCCTTTATATTTATGATTTTTATAATAAAAAACCAAATAATAAAACTATGCTAGTCTTGTACATATTTTCCCTCTCAATATCTTCAAAAGAAGCTAACATTTAATTATAATAGTAATAAAATTTTAACACAAATTTTTTGTATAAATTTTGCATTTCGAATGTTATGGAAATGCATATTAATGCAGTGACATTTTTTGTAGATCTGTATTGTTTAAAAAGCACTGATAGCAGTTCAGGTATTTTGACACATTTTATTTATACCAGAGACATATTAGCAGTCTATTTATTTACCTAAAAGGTATATGGCAGAATTCTCAGTTTCTGAAACATTCAACTATTCAGTGTGTTCTGTCTTCTTAAAGTGAATTACATGGAGTAAAATATTTTACTCTCTGACACCCAACTGAACTACCATCAGTTGAATAATTAAACAATTCCAGTAGAAATTTTTAAAAAAAATTTATTTGTGACTGCTTCTCAATTATTTTATTCGATTTATTTTTTCTGACAAGCTTAACAATAGTATTCTCGTTAAATTGCAAAAGAATTTCTATATTTTTTACACTTGCTGGCTTCTACCATTTGCAAAATAAACTGAAAAAAATACACATAATCAGAAATCATTCATTCTGAACTCACTGTGCGTACAACCATCGCTTTGTTCTTTAAGTATCCCACAGAATCCCTTTTGAATTAAGAAAGGGTACAGATAAACTAGCAGCAATTTTAAGGTGGATTTTCCGTGCGCATGTAATAAATTGCGCTTATAAATTCAGTTGCTGCTCATGTTGAGATATTTTGCATCTGCAGTGTTTTTTAGCCTACTTATGATGAACGAATTCTTTAAAACGTAAAGAAAAGGAAATAATCTAAATTTTCGTAACACTATAAATACTGTGCCTGCTTCTCGGATATTCCTGTCCGTTTTCGTATTAGTAAGTCCTCTTTGGTAAACAACGGATTCATTTAATTCTAAGTTTCAAATTGAGAAGTAATAGAAAATTAATGTTAAAGTAAGAAATAACTAAATAATTAAAGCCCTGAAGATTACTTGTGCAATAACTTGCAAATTCTTCTTATCATTAATTATGAAATTATTTGTTACATTTTTGGAGATTATAAAAGACCTTTATGCAATAAAAATTAAATCTTAGAATATGTGACAGTTAATATATTAAGAATTTCTACTTGTAACTACTGTAATTTTACTTATTTAATTAATTGTGCTACAATCGCATACACACACACATTGAAATATAAAAATAAAATAGTCTCTAAAACTTTTTAATTTGGCAATTTCTTTTTCCTAGCCTTCAAAATGCTAATATATTTATACTTAACATACTGTACTGCATCATTACAAGAATTAATGTAAATTATGATTTTAGCGAAATGTAATTAACACACGTAATAACAATTACATTTAAAATTAATTTAGCTAATAGCATTTTATATTAAAATTTACAATGACCGATAAAAATAAAGCAATACTCTATCCATCTCTCCGAAAATAAATTAATTTCAACACTTTTGCGATCTAACCAATAGCGTAATCTTTCTCATTTTACACTAGCTGTCTTTATAGGAACTAAAACGTATGCTCTATTCTTTTAAAATAGTCGGCATACATTTGTTGATATATATGTTTCTTTATTGCGCTTATTCTCTATGTAGTTTTTGAATTTTGCTGAAAATAAACACTTTTGTTTTATCACAAAGGAATCATTCTTAAAAAAATTATTTTTTAAACATAGTGAACTTTAGACATCGGGCTTGCTTGATGACAGAAGAATACAAACGTAAAAATTTCATTCCTATATATATTATGGCATATTTTTCTTTAATAATCTCAATTTGCATTTCAGAGGACACTTCGACGATGCGACCACACGGTTTTACACAGCTTGTGTGGTCGAAGCTTTGGAGTACCTTCATATGAAAAATATTATCTACAGAGATTTGAAACCCGAAAATCTCATGTTAGATGATAGAGGATACGTGAAACTGGTAATTATATTTTACTCTTAATTAAGTAATAAGGTACTTTGCAATACGGGACATTTATATTTTATCATAATTAAGCATCGTACCTTCTGACTGGAAAAAGTTTTCTAGATCTCACTTACGAATAGATAATCTTTATGTGCTTTGCTCTAATTAAATAGTCCAACCTAATACAATTAAAAGATTACTTGCAGAATTTAGTACCACAAAACTCAAACAATTGAATATACAAGTACTTTTCGTTGTAATGACCTTGCGGATCCCAAAGAAAAAGGACGTTTTAACAAATGAGCGCTTAAAGAAAATGGGTGTAAATTACTTTAATCAGCTGGAAACTTTAACACCGGTCGCTACAACAAGATGGTCGGTGATAGGTTAGGTTAAGTATAAAACTGATGGGCCACCAATTATTTGTCCTGAGTAAATAAGCAAAAGCCTCTTGATGTTGATCACTGACTACCCTGGTCGACATCGTCTTCCTGGGGCCCACGGTGCCGTTCTAGTGCCGAGGTGCAATTGTCTGGTGCAACCGACATCGCAAGCTCTGCCATCGCTGGTAGTGTCATTGGTTATCCCGTTTTATGTCCGGACCTATAGTATAAATGGTATAACGAAAGTTTACATTGCTAATATTTGCATGGTTACTATGATTCCTAAACTAAAATCGGCGGCACAAGCAACCCTTAGAGAGCCATGGCCGGCAGTGCTCTGATAGCCATTTCTAGGCCATAGGCTTCGGGCTGCTTGTGCATCTTAGCCTGGACAAGTGGGCAGCTTGTCGCCAGACCTTCGGTGTTTAGTCCCCAAGCGAACATGGTACTCATTCTATCGACCCATTCCAGAGATGAAAGGCTCAGCCTTGCCCAACCCGGGAATCGAAACCCGGACTTGTGGTGCTACTGCGCCACGGCCAGCCGCTGCGCCACCGGGCCTCACTGTGATTCCTGCTGAGTGAAAATAACAAGCATTTTGGCCATCTATTTGAAACTTCAGGTCAGTGAAAATGCTTGAATGAAATAATCAAGTATCATAGATCAGATTTTGCAGAGTCCTCAGAGATTTTGCAGTAGTTGCTGGAATTTTCTTTGTTGTATTTTAAGCAGTTATTAATGAAAAATTTAATTTTGTAATTTTGTTATAATTACTCATTAATATTTCTAACTTTTAGGTTGATTTTGGCTTTTCGACGCAGCTGAAAAGTGGTAAGAAAACCTGGACTTTCTGTGGTACTCCGGAGTATGTTGCACCTGAGATCATTCTCAATAAGGGACACGACCGAGCCGTCGATTTTTGGGCAATCGGTATACTTATGTATGAACTGTTCACAGGCATGTGAGTAGCACACTAATTACTCTAATTAATCCACTTAATCAATAATAATAAAACCATTAATGATAAAATGATAAATAATGATGAAAACATTATTCTAGAAAAAGTTAACTTTTTTGGTGCCGCAGGATGATAGATGTAATAGATGCAATTAACAGATTGCCATTATCATGGTGCCCCTGTGTAATGGAGTGGGCACTTTTATGCCAATTCGATATTCCATTTTGAATTGAATTTTATACAAGAGTATAAATGTGTGAATAGATTTTAATTTATTATCCTGGTTAATTTATCTCATACGTCAAAATCTTTTAAATCATAGTACTTATAAGCAAATTAAATTCAAAATGCAGGTACTCTGATTGATGACTTTGAAACAAAATACTGAACGTACATAAACGGCGCAGCCTCGCTAGTGGCTGACTATTTAAGACCGCTGAATACTCATAGTTGAACCTGAGTTTGAATCGAGCAAATAAGCTGGCTGCATAATTGCTTTTTGTCGATTTCCCCATGTGCCATGGGGAAATGAGTCAGTTTAGGAACTCCTCCTCAAGGCATCCCTTCCCTTCTGCTGATAGCAAAATAATCTAAGATAAACGATGCAGTACATTTAAGTTGAGACACGAGTTTCCTTTGAAGCACGTTGTGGAATCCTGGTGCAGGTATTAATAGCTTTTGCTTCAGCACCATGAAGTTTTTCCTATCTTGCATTTTCTATATTTAAATGTTAGTCCCATAGCACTATATACGTATATAGAGACGTCAAATTTTCATATTTACGAAACAGATGTGAATAGATGCGAAACATTGTTTACGAATACTTTTCAATCTAAATCGTAAAAAAGCAAGTATATCAAGATGAACATTTAATTCGTGTTCTGCTAATCGTCCAGCGACTCCCCGCCTGTTTCGGAGTCTTTTTCCCTCTCACATGTACACCTACTGCCCACATCTCTCCTGGACGTACCGACTCATTTGCCAAGCTACAATTATCTCAACCAGTTCACTCGAGTCACAAACTGAGGAATAAAAGCGCTTTTCTTTTATTTTATTTTCTAAATCCGTAGATGAATTATGATAGTAAATTTTTATAAGTCGCCATAAAAAAAGAAATAATTGACAGAATAAAGAATTTTAAGTCATACATATCCATTATGTTTAAATAGAGTTCGTTTGAAAGATCAGGCAGAGGATACTCTAGTTAAGCATCCTGCTAATGCTAGTTATTTGAAGAAAATATATCAACCTTTAGCCTATGCAGGATTAAGTGGCAGACTACGACTGCCTGACTTTTTTAAATTTTATTCAAGTGCAAAAATGTGCCACAAGGTAAATTAAGGATTTCTATAAGATCTGGCGGAAATGCGTTTAAAATTCAGTATTCAGCTGCACACATTAGATCATCCAGCTGGAATTTTGTTGTTTACTAAAATATGTGTCTGGTTCAAGCAGTCTTCTATTTCGAGATACTTTGAGACAAAAATATGTACAACTTTGCGCAAATTTCGAGAAAGAAGCAATAAAAGAAAAACTAAAAGATAAGTCAGTTGTTGCAGAGGCTTATAAAAAATCTGACAAAGCCAAAAAACTTGCACATTTTTAGCCTTGTTGAAAACTATTGATTCAAAAGCACAACAGTCTTTTTTATTTTTTTTTTCGGTTTGGCGCAAGTGCAGGGTTTTTAAACGCTATTAATTTTTCGACTTGTTCTCAAATAATAGTTAATGCTTTGAAGGAAAATTAAAAACGATTTCTTCCAATAAAACGTTTAGCATCAGATTTTGCATGTTACATGACTCTCTTCTTCAATTTTACTGAAAATATTTTTGAAACCATATTTTGCATTATCAATGCTAGGCAAAAAATGTATTGTGAGTGCAAGCATAAAGCGAATCTTGTCGGTGCTACATTCGTAAAGATATTCAAAAAATTAGATACTAGTGTACCCAAAACAAAAATAACCTTTTTTTTTTTATCATTCGAGAAAAATATAAAACTGCGTGTTTAAATTACTTAAAAGAACAAGCATCATCTTTAATCTGACATTAACGAGATGGAAATATTGATGTTGTTTACTTGAGCGAATGTATTACACATATTATTGATTTTCTAAATGAATATGAGAATGACAATTCGAGTATCGACTTCCTAATGTAATGCTTCGAAAATTAAATTCTATATGCGTTCGCTCACATTTTTGGAATCAGCTAGATGATTTAATACTCTTAATCTGTAAAACAATGCTATAGTGTATTGATTGAAAGTACAAAAAGTAACAGAACCTTATAACTTAACCTTAGGCATGCTATCTAACGCAATAAATCAATCCTATAAACATATTTGTCGAAAGTATTCCTTGCATCAAGCTTTTCTAAAGTAAGAATTTTCAAAGGCATTCCAAAAGACGGTTGCTGGTGGATGATAATTATTTTCGTAAGCAGCTTTTCACAATGGTCACTCAAGATACTCACACTGCCGTCATAAATATTCTTAAAGGAAAAACATTCTCTTGCAAAATTTTAGTAGAGGCTGCTGTTCAAATCTTTCAGAGTCTTCTTAATAGTGGGGATGCTGATAAATATTTTAATTTCTTAAACTACAGATAGGAGACAAAGCCAAAATGAACAAAATATTTCATATTATTATAGTAGTTTATTTGATTGAGTTCGAAAAACAGGGATTTACATTTTTTATTTCTCCCATTGATGTTTGTTAATAAATGCGAAATTTCCATTTTTTAATTTTTTTGAAAAATTTCCTTTGTTTTAGTGGGGAAATTACATATCCCGATATCCTTTGCGTCATTTACTACCGACATTTAAATTTTTATGCCGGTTAGAATTTTGAACCAACTTAGATTTTTCTATTTTTTCTTTTGATTTAAATTAAATTGTGTAGTCTTTGACTACTAATCTACGTTTTAAATTTGAATTTGGCTTTTATTTTAGTTTCATTGCCACAAGTTACGGTTAATTTTGTTAAACATAAGAAATGCATTTATGTTCAAGTTCTGTTTCATAAAAAGATTTGTTTAGACCTTTTCAAGTGCCTGTTATTACTTCAGACGCAACGATAATTTGCTCTGTGTCTGTTTGGATCAAGCTCATGTTAAAAAGGAAGGTCGAACTCTATAATCTTTACGGTATAAACTTTACCATATAATTTTACTATATCCCACGGACTGTATAAAAATTTTTAATTTGTGCTTTCAGAATCTTTCATAAAATTTCTGCCTTATGTTTTACGAAATTTGTAGGTTCGTAACTGGAAACATTGTAACTCTCTGGGATCAATATTTAAGAAAACGTCCTTTTAAAAATGAAATCTCTTAATTTAATGAAACAATTTTTGCAAATACATAGGTAAATAGATAGAAAACTTTCAAGGACAAACAACATGTGTAAAGTCATTTTAAGATCAAAAATCAATTTATGTAGTCTTTGTAATAAAATATAAATATTTAAAAATTTAATAACAAATATTTTTTTCTTTTAAATTATACGCTTTCTTAACGTTTTTCTGTTTTAAATCCTTGAATATTTTAAAATGCAGAGCACTATAAATCCAGACTTTTATAATCTCGAATCTAGATATCTGGAATTTTAAACTTCTATCATCTACATTATTTGCCATAATCCCTTTTAATCGGCACAGCAATGGAATCTAACCGACTCCAGGCAACAGATTTTTCTGGATAATAAAATATATATTTCTGTAACTTAACTGTTCATCTGTAGAACCAACAGCATGCAAAATCCGTCGGCTGTGCTTTTGATCTATCGGCCATAATTAAATAAATAATATCGAAAATAATACCTATTATTTAAAATTGAAATACATCTAAATGATTTTATATTCCAAAAAAGCAAAATTATACATTTTAAAAAGCCTATACTTATTATCACAGGAAATTCATGAAAGTCTTAGTGCGATGGCAAAACGTTTTGAACTTCTGCCTGTTTACAAGATTGTCACCGTTGTTTTAAATATTCGCTGCATATACAATGAATCTTTTTAACATCATATTTTGACTTTCTTGCCCTGCATGCCGTCTTCATCATCATCATCATCCCGTCCTCCTCATTATTATCTTTTCCCTTTCCCAGTACTTATCCAAGACCACAGCAATCATTATCTTGTCAGATTGTGATGCAAACAAAATTGTTTACATCCACTCAAACCTGCACCTACTTTTCACCAACACTAGCCTTCTCCGAACATGAAACTAAATTCAAGATCTTGACAGTGGGAGCCGGACTAAAACTTATAGAAATTTCGTTATTTGATTCGCCATCTATGAATATGATCATGGGCTACAACTTATATCAACAGCAACATAAGGTAACGTTCTTTACTTCTTTCCAAGCATGGACGGAAAAAACACAGCATAGATGTTTTCCATATTTATATCTTCAGACTGTTAGACCGATTTTTAATTACTTTGTAGAGACATTAGGTATTTTGGAAGCAAGAGACATGAAAAATTAGCAATGCCCTCGCCCGGTACCGAACCACGGACCTCTCGAATACGCACCGAGGGTACTGACCACTACACCACAAAGGCATGCTAATAAGGCGGGAGAAATACCTTATAATCTCATAGGCATAAATTTCAAGTAAATTTTTCAAAAAACATTCAGTAGACAATTAGTTTTTTTGTATACCCAGTTATATGACCGATTTTACACTATGCGATGCCGTTTACGAGAACTTTTACCTTGCTTTTTATCAGCTAAGAATGATAGAATTCGAAACGTCAGACAGTTGATACGTGACAGCATTAAATATTACTGCTAACATCAGACAGAAAAAAAAATCCTTTTGATCATAAAGAAAGCACAGTTTCGTCAACAAAGCGAAAAAAGAACAATTTCTTAAAAAATGGTTGTAGAGATAAACAGCGCAGAATTAGCGTTCTTTCGGAAGGTCCTTAAATAGAGTCCTCAGAATGAAAGAATATTATATAATACAATTTTGTAAACTGTTTTGTGTACTAATTTCGAAGCAAATTCGTCGTTCTATTTCGTAGTAGAATATATTCTCATGATTTTCCTATCCCCTTTTTAATGCCTCTTAAAATATGAATATTTAAGATAGTCTTGAGAACATGAATGTTGAACTTACTCAAAAATCTAAATAAGAATCAGAATAATCCCAGACACCGAATATTTTTTATTTTGTGAATTTTACAGCAGGTGCTTCAATAAGATGCCGTTGGTTTCAAACAACACATCAAGCAAACTTTTATTTTAACCATAGTCTAAAAATTGTAATCTGTTTCCTTATAAATTTCTTTATAATTTATAAACCAGTTTATCATTAAAACGCAGTTAAAATACTACTGCACCATTTATTGCATTGAGTTATGGTAATAATTACGACTAAAGGAACGGAGAGTCTCAAGATTCAAGTCTATACTAGAGAACATATATTTCTTCCGCCTTCTTAGCATGCCTTCGTGGTGTAGTGGTCAGCACACACGACGCGTATTCGAGAGGTCCGTGGTTCGAATCCCGACGAGGGCATTGCTCATTTTTCATCTCTCCTGCTTTCAAAAAATACCTAATGTCTCTACATATACAATTCACAAAACTACCAACTAATTATATTGACTCGAACTGCTTGCCAAATCACCGCTTTCGGAATCCTCAGAAATATTCCTTCATTGGTATTATCAGTGTCCTTTTGGATCAGGATGGGTTCTTGCATCTTATCCGTTGCAAAAGTTCGGGTTTCGTTTCCCACGGCATTAAAAGCGTATCTTGCTAATCATTCTCATGGTCTCGTGATCATTTTGGTACGCAGTTGCTCATCTGCAGCGTCAGCTTTTTCCTCCATATTTAGCATCATTATAATTAATGATACAAGACCAAGCACCTGACTCTTATTTGAAACGGAAACTACTTCTGATTCAATCTGTACATTAAATTCATTACGATTACAACAAATAGCGCCTTAAATACAGATGAATTTTAAATTAAATGCCAACATCTGAGGGATCTGACATTTTATCCAGATATATATTGCATGCTTTACCATAATTAAATAACTCTACCCATTCCGTTAACGATAGACTACCTAATCTTACTTGTAAGCATTTAGAATTGTTTTACAGTCTCGTCTTCACCCTTCATCATAGCTCCAGATAATGTTTCACAAATATGCTTCACTTAAACCATGCTTAGTGGCGTAATCTAAATGCATTCGAATTGCTAAACTTGTTAATGAACAATGTTCTTGACATTTCGTTATCATCACATTATATTACACGGTATATATTACATGCTTTACATGCTATAGCTTTTAGGGTTACATTCTAAATATCTAACAAGTTTCCATCTCCCAACTAATTCTCAGCATTTGCACAAATTCTCTTGCTTCAAGGGATTCCTCGTTAACCGTTTCGGTTGTAGTCTTACGGTAGCAGATTAAATGCTGTTCATTTAAAATACACGCTCTTCATCCTCGATGAACTTAGATCAGTGATATCCCTTTCTTAATAACTGAAGTTACTCTTACTTAGCTTTTAAACAAAAGAGAAGTAAAGCTGTACTTAGTTTTGAGTGATACATTTCTAAGGAGAATTCAAAATTTTTCATGCTGAAACCTGGCGATGCGTCTTATTTTGAGATTTATGTAGAAATTTGATTTTAGAGATGGAAGACTAATTCATATGGTATAATTATTCTATTTTCGACTCTCTAAAAGGAAAAATGATACATTTTGTTGTGAGTAAAAGATAGGTTCTTGGGCGCCGAAAACAAATGATCATACAAAAGGTTCAGAAAAAAACCACCGTCGAGTAAAAAACTCAACTTCTTGAATGCGTTGTCCCATGCACGAAATGTCTCATCATTTGATTGCTTTGTTTGATATTTCATATGAAAACACTATTATACCTACACAACCGACTCATATTCAAAACTCCAGCAAACTTTGTGTTTGCCAGTGAGTGTCATACTGTAAGGAAGTTTCACATTTCTAATGCGTACGCTCGTGGTGTAAGTGGTTATCACGTCTAGGTAGCAAACTTAAAAAATCTGCGCTCAGACTCCCACGTGAGCACAACTGATTTTTCGAGGATTCAGCTTTACGAACCTGGGTTTCCAGCTTTTTACCTAACAGCTAAATGTGTAGGAACCTCGTGAACAGATAAGCGAATAATCGCTTGAGTTCGTGAACAGAGACGTAAAGCTCAAGAAGGATTAATTACAGTCGGCTCCTGTCTCAAAGCATACAGCAAAGCCTCCACTTGTGTTTGAACTCAAAGTAATAAAAAACCAAACTTAACTAAAACTTAATTAAAAGATATAGCCGAAGCTATCAAGGTTTCTAAGTAGTTGGTCCCTCAATATCCAATAAGCTTGCGAAGCTATCAAGAGCCTGAAATAGAGCCGAGCGTACTAATAGCTTAGAGAGAGACGTAGCCAAAAAACGAACGTGCGCTAGTCAGAAACTCTGGCTCTCTAACGAAATCAGCGGAACTTCGACCTAAGTACCGTTTTTACTTATTTGCATTAAACGCTATTCTAAAAACACGTTCTGGTAGGAAATTGTAAGCTGAAATTAGGAAGGATAGGAAAGTAGCTTTAACTAAAGATAACTGTTAAAAACTTAGGATACATCTTACAAGAAAATTTGATGATTTCTGGAGTACAGCCCGAAATAAAATGTGGTAGACGATAACTTGTCACCAATCGGGTTTAGTCAACTATATATTTTGCCTCTCTCTAGTCGCCGTTTAAGTGGGGAGAATGTAAGAAATTGTTGCATTCTTCCATGCGTCCTTTTATTGTGTGAGTTGCAACTACATGCAGCTAGCAAATTGGATAATGTGTGGTTTGAATCCTAATGAAGGCATAGTCGACTGTTTTTCCCATTTCTTCTCCTGAAAAAGCCAAATTGTCTTTATATGCTAAGGCTATAACACTAAAATGTATTAAGGTTACTGCTTAGTGATTAAATCTACAATTAATTGACAGAGTCTATAACGGAAATGAATTTGGAGCGATTCGTTTTTACTTCCTTGTACGAAGTAAAAAGGAAGTATTGTAATCGCGAAAAGTTTCAGGCAGCATATTTCAACAAAAATATCCAATTTGACCGCTATCGAATGCAATTTAACAATGTTTTTGCGTGATATCTGTAGGTAAGAACAGAATAAAAGACTCGTTTCCTCCAAAAAAATTATAAAACTACTTTAAAATTAATTCTGAAGAAAATTTTTCGTGGCGTCTGTACGAACGTATGTACGTACGTACGTATCTCGCATAACTCAAAAACAAGTAACCTCAGAACGTTGAAATTTTCTATATAGGACTATTATAACATGTAGATGTGCACCTCGTATTTTGGATGCGATCGGCCGCACAAAACGTATATAAATATATTTATATATATATCCACGCTGTTACCCGGCTCAGTGATCTCAGTTTCTTTACTCTTATATGTTTGTAAATTGTACATTTTTTGCTTTAAAAATAATTGAATTATGTTGTTTTTATCTTCCGGTTAAGGTTGTTATTCCTTTCGTAAATCTGTATGCAATATTTTTAGAATTATCAACAATTTTAAAGTTGTTTAAGTGCCGCTAAGGCTTTTTTTTTTTTTTTTTTTTTTTTTTTTAATGGCGGCTATTGATTGTGTACATTTGAAGCAACAGACTAGTGGATTTGTTTCCAATCTAGAGAAACTTAGCTTCGTTTAGCTAGCTTTGTTGCGCAACAACAAAGATAACGCCTTCATTTATTATTGCCAATTAAATCATGCTTAATCCTTTCTAGAATTTTTTTCAGGAAATAAGTGTTTAAGATTTACTTCGTAATTTTTAATACAGATATTTTGAGTTTTTACGTATTTTAGCCTTGTCGCGAAGTGAGAACTGAATTAATTGAATGATAAATACTCAATCGTCTGTGAAAAACTGGTTCTTTTTTGTTTTGTTTGCTTAATTTCTTTTATACATCATCCTAGCTTTATTATAGTATTTGAATAGGACATATGGCAACGATTAGATAATTCTATTCTTTAAATGATATAAATTTTGTGCATTATGAGTTATAATATGAAAGAAATATAATACTGTTAAGTGAATCTAGCGCCAGAGTGTCGCTATGGTAAACACATACTAGAGTGAATTTTAAAGAATGCATTTATTCTATTGTGGTTTATGCGGTGTCGGCGAAGTAGATTTAATTCAATCCAATAAGTTTAAATGAACTGCAGGAAAAAATGCGTATAATTTAATATTCCGTACAAGGAAGTCATGTGGTGTACACATCAGATTTATTTTAACTATGTACCATTTTCCTGAGAACGGTTTTACTATATATTCTTCAAACCCAGATGGACCTGTGAATCATTTATATTTATATACATTTTACCTTTTCAATTGGTAATTTTTGCTGTATTATTTTTGAAGTGCTTCCTGTTTAGGCTACATAAGTTTACGTAATTTTAAATGCGTCAGACTATTTTTTCTTTCAAGCTTCATTCTAGTTTTTCCTCCAGGCCACCGTTCAGAGCTGCTGATCCGATGCAGATTTACACCATAATACTAAAGGGTATCGATATGATAGATTTCCCAAGAACGATACCCAAGAACGCTCAGCATCTCATCAAGAGGCTCTGCAGGGATAATCCAAGTGAAAGATTAGGATACCAGAAAGCAGGAATTGCAGATATCAAGAAGCACAAGTTAGTATACCAAATACTTAAAATTTAATATTTCTTAAGATATTCTTGCGAAGTAGCGAGGTAACATAGTTTTGAAAGATATATATTTGACTGCCATTTTTAACTATTTAATTAATAAACTTCATTGAATTTAATGCAGTAAAATTATTTTGTTGAATTAAAAGGCTCAGAGAAATATTTTGGATATTCTAATTGACAAAATGCCTTTTTTTATGGAAATAATTCATTTATTGAAAACAGAAGAGAAACATACCAAGTTTAACATAAGATTAGTAATACAACAACCTTGAGTTTAACGTACATTTGGTCAAGATCTCAATCGATTTCGAAGGCAAACAGGCCAGGAGCAAAGAAATCTTTAGACTGATAATAGCAAGTGGTCTTGCAGACTTCTTTGCTCCTGACGAAGAGGTACCTGTATCGCTTTGTTCTCGAAATCGATAGAGATTTTCACTTATTATACGTCATACTCAAATGGTTGCTTTACTAATTCACTTATTAAACATTTTGACGTTTGGTTTTATAAAATAGAATCAAATACATTTACAGTACTCATGTACAAAATTGTCCATCAGTTACACATATTACTATTGTTCCCATACATATATACCATACTTACGTTATACAAACTAAGAAGAAGTCTGTACATTACGCATTTCTTCAAATTTAAGGCACGTCTTTGTCTTTAGATGGCTGAAAATTAATTGTGTGCCTCAAATTCAGTGTTGTTGCAGATACAAGTATATGTGTCTAATTATATCACAGCGTGTTAATGAAATATAAAACACTCTGTTATTTGTTTCACAGTAGTAATAATCATTGACGACCACCATTCATTTTACAAAATGTTGAAAATGTTCTAATATAAATGAAATAATTTGCAAACGATATCACCAGGACTTAGCAAAACTCATGGATTGTAGGCGAACTTAAATGACTATGTGAAGTGCTTCTAAATTAACAACTGATATCGTTATATATAAGCAAGTATTGATATATTTTTTTCTAGCGACACACATAATACCGGAACACGGGTATGGTTTTAAACGATACGGTATATCATTTTAAACTATAAACTCATTAAGATGGAAATTCTTACGAAATTCCAAACAGCTATCTTTTCTTTCAGCGGAGAGAATGTGCAGCCTTTGAGATAAAGTTGAAGAACTGCTAATACAATTTGTAGTAACTGTAGCGAATAGTTTATCCAACAGATGGCAGTATCTGCCAAGCTCCTTTGGTAATTGTCAATGCGCATGCGCAAGTGGAGTGTAAAAAGAAGTTATGTTATTAGGAGAATGAGCTTTCGTTAATAATGTTGCTGCGCGTTTTCGCTGTGTAAATAAAAGTATATTTTTATATCATAGATGTTCTTTACTCTCTAATGCGAAGCACTAGGTTAGTGCACGAATCTCTTCTGATTCTGAAACCATTTTCAAACCGTGGATCACCACAATAAAAAGTGGCGTCCGTGACAGGACCCATTAGTTAGGTAAAGGACACTTTTGATGGTTTTAACAGCAGAAATGGAAGCCTTGAAAGTAAGAAGAATACCACTGCGTGCAACCTTCACGAAAGCATATAATAGCCTACATGGACATTTGAATGAGTCAGAATTGAACAGTGATGTTCTATTATCGTCCCTGGAAATCCTGGAAGATAAAGGAATTCGACTACAACAGTTGGATGAAGAAATATTGGATCTCCTATCAAATCGAAAGAAGTCTCGCAAGAAGAATATACTAAAGAATTTGAGTCATGTGAGACTTACAAGGAGAAATTAATAGCAGCCAGGATGAAAGTGAAGCAAATCACTGTGGAAATAGAGAAAAATTTGCTGACTCATGCATCGGTAAATGAAACCAGAACTGTTGATTCAAGAACAACGGCAACGAATTTGAAGCTTCCGAAAATAAATTTGATTGAATTTACAGGTGATCCACGACAATGGTATGAATTTCTGGAATACCTTTAGTAAGATACACGAAGATCCAGTGCTGCAGATGATCATTTGAAATTCGTATATCTGATCCAGGCTACTGCTGCCAAATCGAAAGCACGGGAAATAGTGCAGAGTTTCCCGACAACTAAAGAAAATTATCCGAAAGTCATCGAACATTTAAAGAATCGTTTTGGACGTGAAGATATTCTTATACAAGTGTACGTTCGGGATTTTATTGAATCTTGTGTTGATAAATAATAGTGCAACCAAAAAAGGACTTTGCGCTATCATCGTTGTACGACAGTTTAGAAACAAAACTGCGTGCTCTGGAATCTCTCGGTGTGACTGAAGATAAATACGCTAGTGTTATTTTTCCATGTTAGTTGAATCTTGCCTGCATCCCCTGACATCTTACGCGTGTGGGAGAGGGAACGGGAGAGCTCGTCTCACAACAAGGTAAGAGCGATCTTGAAATCTATTCTTCTGTTTTTGAAAAATGAAGTGATATCTGAAGAGAGAATTAAATTAGCGCGTTTTTCTTTTGATAAAAGTAGAAAATCTAAAAGTTACATTAATGATGAGTCTAATATTCCTACTTGTAATGATTTGTATACAGGAGACAAATTTAAAGAAAATGCTCCTATTAAGAAAGTTGAGAAATCGTGTTTATTTTGTGATAAACTACATTTAACAGAAAAATGTTTTAAAGCTAGTACGCTTACATATCAGGATAAAAAAGATTTAATATTTAAGAAGGGTTTATGTCTATTATGCTTGAAGAAAAAACCATATTTCTCGTAACTGTAAGTCCAAGGTTAAGTGTTTAATTTGCCAGAAAAGGCATTTGGCAGTAATGTGTCAACAAGTTCCTTCTCAATTGAAAGAGACTAAACAAGTAGAGCCTGTGGCGAAAAACGAGGTCAATGTTTTGGGCTAGCAGATCCGCGAGCTCCGATGTGTTACTACAAACATTAATCGTAAGAGTAAAAAATGGCAACAGGGAAAGGATAGTCAGAGGGATTATAGATACGGGTTGCGAGAGAAGTTATTTAACGAAAGATATTACAGATTCTTTGAAATGTAACAGTGTTGGTGAAGTGTAATTAGTTCATAAATTATTCGGAGGTGTAGAAACAAACAGAAAAATTGCATTCTAAATATCATAGTTCATTTGAGTAGCCTTGATAATAAATATGTATGTAGTGTGCATTGTTTAAGTGAATCTGTTATCTGTTCTGATGTTCAAGAAAATACCTAAAGGTCCTTGGTTGAAAGAACTTCGTAAATTAAATATTCAAGTGTCAGATGTAGAGGGTAATGCTCCTCGAAAACGAAAGTGACATTAAATTGTTGATAGGTTCTGATATTGCTGGAAAATTATTCACCGGAAATATTAAATGTTTTACAAAGTGGTCCGGTCGCGATGGAAACAATGTTTGGGATGGATTTTAATGGGTAAAATTCCAGCGAAAGGAATCTTCGGGTATAAATGATTCTCTTGCATGTGTTTCTTTATTGCTAAACGAAAGATCAGCAGAAAACTTGTGGAAGTTAGACGTTATTGGTATAAATGACCCAGTTGAGTCTAAAAACGAAAGCTGAAAATGTCATGAGGAGACCATGCAATATTTTGAGGAAAATTTGAATTTGGATTCAGACGGGAGATATGAAATTGCATTACCTTGGGTACCGGACCCCTCTCGCTTGTCTAAGTAATAAAACGTTGGCAGAAAAACGCCTGACTAATACGCGAAGGAAATTATTAGATTCGAATCAAATTAAAGTTTATTAGGAAGTATTTGATACTTGGTTGAAGGAACGAATTATTGAAGAGGTAAATGAAGGCGAAGTAGATAGAGAGCACTATTTGCCTCATAGGCCGGTTTTTTAAAGAATCTAGCGAAAACTATGCGAGTAAGGCCAGTTTTTGATGCTTCGGCGGCACACGCCAAAGGAGAACTTTCCTTAAATGATTGTCTTGAGAAAGGTCCCAACCTAATAGAAATAATTCCAACATTGTTGAATCGTTTTCGGAAATATCCTGTTGCAGTAATTTCAGACATTGAGAAAGCCTTCTTGCAGATTGGTATAAGAGAGAAGGATAGAGATTATTTGCGTTTCTTTTGGAAAGGTGCAAAAGAAGAGAATACTAAAATTTACAGACATTGTCGCGTGGTTTTTGGGCTTAACTGTAGTCCATTTTTGTTAGCCGCTACGTTGAACTATCATTTAAATCGTGCCCCAGATCAGTTTGCAGTTACAGCCAACATTTTGAAGGAGTCCTTCTATGTTGATAATTGCCTGACTAGTTTTAAGAATATTGAAGAATTGAATAGATTTGTACTAGAATCGAGAATGTTATTGTCACTGGGAAAGTTTAATCTTAGAGGATGGCAGTCGAATTGTGAAACCGAAATAATTCCCAACTCTAAATTAGATACATTCGTTTGCGTTTTAGGGTTAAACTGGGATTTGAAGGATGATACTCTTTCCTGTAAAATTGAGTCACTAAAGAAAGAGGAGATTGTCGCGAGTAAACGAACACTCCTTTCTTGCGCGCATAAGTTATTTGACCCAGTAGGCTTCCTTTCTCCCGTTACCCTGTTCCCAAAGGTGATATTGCAAGAGTGTTGGAAATTACGATTAAATTGGGATCAAAATTGCCAGAACATTTAGAAAAGAAGTCCATACAATGGGTAAAGGAAATGAAAACTGCTGTCTGATGTCAAAATTTTCTAGATGGCTTAATATTGACAGATCGGTTAACGAAGATGTAAGTCTTCACGTTTTTCAGCGATGCCAGCAAGCATGCCTATGCTACCTGTATTTTCTTAAGAGTGAAGACCGAAAATAAGGTTTATTTAAATTTTGTGCAAGCACGCACTAGAGTTAAGCCTTTAAAGAGTATATCCATTCCTCGTTTGGAATTATTATCCTGCTTAATCGGAGCACGCTTGGGACGTATGGTCTTTTCAGATTTGAACATGCCAAATTTAAGAACATTCTTCTGGACTGACTCAACAACCGCTTTGTGCTGGATCCAGCGAGACGTACGGTG